GCTGCATATATATAAACTAATAAACCCCCCCTAATGTGTAGAGGATCGATTTGTGAGATTATGAGATTATTGCAGAAATACAGTCCACTTAACATTATACAAATTGCTATCGAAGTATATAAATTAACGTAAATATAAATTCATATAAATTAAATAAATATAAATCTCACACTTCGAAACCCACATTATTTGGACCTTCGGAACCGGAATATTCGGTCCTTTGAACCCACATTTGGTCATCTTAGTACCGGATGAACCAGTTAACCAGTGGATTCATTAAATATACTAGTGCAGTGTTATTTAAACAAAGGCCAGCCAGTCAAAGACAGCGGCGAAGCCTCGTGGGAGCTCAGGAGCCTCCCTCAGCCCAGTTCAGCTTCGTCAGCGGTTTCATGCACACCCACAGATATTTGGTGGCGTGTTATTTCGTGAAATGACAGCGCTAATATTGAAGCCAGCCTAATTAGTGACTGTGTGTCGCGTGATTGTTCACGGATTTCGTGGTGTTACATTTCGCGAGAGATTATCTACGAATTTTGTGGACTTTATTTCGCGAGGTCACTAATAATATTTAATACTTCTAGATAATATTAGAAGTTTCATAGAGGCTAATTAAGAGGCTATTATCAATAATTGTGTATATTATTTCTCCAAAATAGAGAATTATTTAATATAAATTGCACTAGTGATCACAGTATAATATTTACTAATTGCCAACCCACAACAGGGTAGGATATGACTAGTTGAACTATTATTGTTCATCCTAGTCCCATTATTACAATAGTCAGTTGTACTATATTGAACAACCTAACACCATTAATGAATGGTCCAGACCCTATTTTGGGTGTAATTTTTATCAACTCGAGTTGAGTTGTATATATAATAAATTACTTATGATCATTACACCTTTGAGTGATTAATTAGTGTCTCTACCATCCTAGGGTGATATAGAAGAGCTAACCTAAAGGTACTTCCAATGACACTGGTTTATCACTCAAATCATTAGTGTGGATGATTGTATATATATAATGTGTATTAATTTTAAGTGCTAACCTCTAGTAGAGGTAGGATTATTGCCTAGTGAGTGCAGAATTTACCCTAGGCTACCATTAGAGCTTGTTCAGCATTATGAGCAGCCCAAGTACAAGCCCCACAAGGCTTCACCAACTAGCCAGGATGGATAATGCAGGGAGAATGAAAAGAACCCTTGCAGGTCTTAAAGGCCACTTAACAAGACAGATCAAGAAATGTGAAGATTTGTCACAACAATCTCAAGTTGATTATGCTGACCTGGAAAGCTATTATCAAGCAGCTGCAGGTAAATTTGAGCAAATCAAATGTCAAATAGCAACATATGTGGCTGAACTTGCCAACACTAATTTATCAGAAACAGAAATAGACGACATTATGGTTGATCTAGCGAATTATGAAGATCACACTCAGGCCACGTTACAGCCTTATGTCAAATTAATTGCCCAGAACAAGGCAACAGCAACAACAACAACAGTTGCATCTAATACGAGTCAAGCAGAAGCTCGACTCCCTCCAATTAATTTACCCACTTTCTCAGGAAAAGATGAGGAAGATTGGGACGAATTTTGGAACAAATTCGTTGACCTTGTAGACTCAAAACAATCTTTACCAAAGAGTAGTAAATTCTCTTATTTGCAAGGCCAATTATCAGGTGAGGCTAAAACAGTAGTATCCCATCTGAGATTAACTAATGACGGCTATGATCTGGCAGTAAAACTCCTCAAGGATAATTATGCTGATCCAGAAGTAAGAACATCACATTTAGTTCATGAGCTGTTGCATTTACCCCCACCGGAGGCTTCAGCTGATTCACTCCAAGTCTTCAAGCTGGAGGTAGAATCATTGATCAATGCCCTCAGCCTGACAGCAGATACAAACGGGGCTGAGTGGGTCTTGAAAATAATTGTCCAGGAGAAAATACCTAGGGACATATTGAGACAAATGAGTGCTCATTACAATAAAAGCATCTTATCCATGAATGAAATATCTGAAGGTTTAAAGTCAGTAGTTCATCAATTACGAACACATGACAAATTAAAACCACCAAGTAAACCCTCAGAAACTAATAATAGTAAACCACAGAGTACCAAAGGTACTCCAAATCAATCTAGACAATATAATTCAACACCAAAGTGGAACAGTAGCAGTGTGGGCGTATAGGCAGTGGGACCCTCCAAGCCTATAGTTACTGTGTCACCCAAGAACATGACACCAAAGGGTACAGGAAGCTATGGAACATGTTTGTTCTGCAATGAGAAACATTCAATGTACCACTGCTCTAATTTTCCTGATAGTGACGCCCGTGTTGAGCGACTCAAAGATTTGCAACATTGCACGAGGTGCCTCAGGAAACATAACATCAAGGACTGTGATACCCAATTACACACCTGTAATAGGTGTAACAAAGGTCAGCACCATGCAGCATTGTGCAGAGACACCAAAACAACGTCTCCAAACCCCAAGGTGGAAGATAGCATTCCCACCACAGTACAGTACTGCAAGGTGCAACCAACAAAGAGTGTCCAATCGGCAAAGTCTAAAGGTAATACGACTTTGCCTACTGCCCAAATTACCATCCTGAATAAGAGGGCCAAGGTCCATACCCGTGGGTTGTTTGACCAAGGATCCCAGAGAACATATGTCACTAAAAAGCTGGCAGATGAATTACAATTAAGGCCTGTAGCCCAGATGTCATTCAACATCTCAGGGTTTGTAACAGATGCAGGACCTCAAGTCTACCAGGTGGTACAACCATCAGTACGTTTAGGCAGGTACGTCTGTCGAGTACAAGCCATTGTGGTGGACAAAATACCAGTAGACCTACAAGTTCAAGGTCTGAGAGCAACAGCCAAATTCCTGAGAAATAGAGGAATAAAATTGGCAGATAATATTAAGTCTGATCACCTCAACGACTTCGGTCTCCTTGTAGGGACAGACTATTGTCATCGATTCATCGGTAGCCCTGCTAAATATCAGGGTATAACCATGTTAAACTCTGCAGGAGGTAAATTACTCTCAGGCCCAGTATCAAGCCTGAGGAGACCTATGGCTGCAGATAAACAATACCAGTAGAAATCTAAATTTGTCAGCTGATTATATTTCTCCAGTAGCATTATACTAAGGAGATTACAGCTGACTATACCAACAGAAGTTGATGTTAGTATCATCATATAAAGCTGGAGATGAGTTCATGAGGCCTCAGTGGCAAATCAGTGAACAGTAGCCTAAAACAGCTACAAGTCACTGCGACCAATGTCACTGAACCCACTGCAGTCTCAGAACCATACTTTACTTTAATGATGAGCTATTCAATCTTCTGAATCAATTAACTAAATTAAACCCTAATAAATCTGATGACTGATTTGATACATTTATTATTTAATCAAGATGTATTCCATGGGCCTCAGTGTTTATATATCAGTGACCAGTTACCTGAAGAAACTTCAAGTTATATCTAATGTCACTGATCTCACTGCAGTCCCTGAATCATACTTGACTGTAGTACTTGATCACATCCAGTCTTCTGGGTTAAATAATATGTAATAAGGCTTGAATATTAGCCTTTCAAGAGTTGACAGGGAAATGAAATCGCATTAGACTTCTAACCCTTGCAACTCTAGTACGGGACATCCGTCCTGTACGAACAGACGCACAAATGTGTGCTTACTAACTACTAACATCAAATTAATCTAATAATTCGAAGGAGGAGTATCGGTGTTCGTCTGTTCTAAACAGGACTTCGACCCGTGAGCAGCCCCCTGGGGAATTATGTCGGAAAATCCGACACCATTTAATAATCATACAGATAATAACTGTATTACCAACAAGTTACCCATAGAAAACGTAACTTGTAGTGGAATTACCGTCTAAAGAAAACGGGATATCATCACCACATACTATTATAATTCACCAGCTATTCTGCTGGGAATTATTCTTAAATACATTAGTCTTTGGACTTTACCATCATAAAAACATCTTATATAAATTAACTTAATTATCAATATTAAAGTAGAGTAAATGTGACCCTTCTATCACTTTCTGAAATCTGGACAAAGTAGGCCAGGCGTGAGGGAGGAAGGAGGGCAGCCATTGTTGTGTCACCTCCGAGACGTGTGGAGCAAATTTGGCTCCTATCATTCTGGACAATGTCGGCCAGACGTCAATAGAATGGAGTGTTAGATGCAGCCATTGTTTATACGAGACCAGAGGCTCACACGGGAGCAAATTCGGCTCCTGTTAATTTTACTTGGACGTAGTGTTATGGATACCAAAGGTGTACCATCTGTCAACACGCTGTCAACAAATCAAGTTAAGTGTTCTTTCCGAAACCCATTATTTATCATTAGTGGCCATTAATGTCATTATATAGGGTGACCCGTTTAGATCACATGGAAGCCTCAAACTAAAGGTAATTAAGCCAGGTCTTCATGTTCCATGTACTGTTTTCTCTGATATACTTGTCATATATAGGTATCTGGCTTCACAGCTAGCGCACTTTTGACAGGTCAAGACGAGGATGCAAGATTTTGTGCACCAGTTACTGGGTGATATGGAAGCTACCTCAAAGAGGATAATTTGGTGTCTACACCCTAGTTATACCTGGTGGACTAACCTGCTGTACTATAAGATAAGGAACCTCATCAATGTATGTAGCTATTACTGTAGTTTGATTGGCTGCATATATATAAACTAATAAACCCCCCCTAATGTGTAGAGGATCGATTTGTGAGATTATGAGATTATTGCAGAAATACAGTCCACTTAACATTATACAAATTGCTATCGAAGTATATAAATTAACGTAAATATAAATTCATATAAATTAAATAAATATAAATCTCACACTTCGAAACCCACATCGTATTTAATAATTCATCTTCAGAAGTAAAATAAAATAAAATGATTCTCTTTAGGATTCAAACTAAACCTGAGTTCAACAACATATAACTGAGAAATATTTTACTTACGAATTCCCCTCTTCTTCAGCTGGTCAGTAAGAGCTTTAAATAGTTTTGTAATATTGATTTCCTCAGGACATCCTGACAGCTCTACTATAATAGCAATATCTGCAGATCCCTCAGTTTCTTTCTGATATGTGTGCAACCATCCACTAGGCCTTGCTTCCCCTGAGACGTTGCACATGCCAGTGACCTCTGCAAGACAGTAGCAGTTATGTTTATGTATCAAAATAAATATGAATATTTTACATGGTGTTACAAAATTTCTTGTACATGATTTATTATTCCTATAATTTCACATCTTGTTCTGCTTTCTAGAAGCGACACAGGAGTCCCTACCGCAGGTGAAGCAAGGAACCCTTTGTACAGGTGGAGCAGGAATCCTTGTATGAGTGAGCCAGGGACCCCCTAATTGTACAACTCGTCCTCAGACCAAGTCCATTCCATCCAATGGTCGACCCCAAAGACGCATTCATCAACTTTAACATGCTGTTCATTCAAAATAAGAATTTTCTCAAATGTAAATTAATATTACTACATATTAGCATACTGTACATATTTAGGTATTGGTTAGGTTCGGTGTTTAGGTTTTGTTGGCAAATATTTGTATTTGTAGTACGTGGGTAAAGCATTTACAGCGTTGAGGTTTGAAGAAAAGTCGTCAGTGAACCACTTGATCCGGAAGTGATCGGACGTCATCAGTTGTGAGTCGTGTGTAAATCGTTTTTCATTCATAAACAGGGGGTTTGGCCGGTGTATGGAATGGGCTTTGGGTCTTTGTTTATCAGGACGGACTGAATTGTAAAGGTTTAGTAAGACCCCGTCTTGAAAGTGAAACATGAGCCCCTGGCAGATAGGAAGCAGGAGCTGATGTAGAAATGTCTAGACAATAAAAATAATCAGTCAATATTGCTTATAGGCCTCCCTCCCAGAGGAGGAGGGAGGAGCCAACTCAGAGAACAATCGTTCACGAGAGCGCCCGAGGACAGTTGCAAGTGTTTGTAAACAGTGTAATCATGTGTGCGGTGCTTGAGACATTATGCAAGCAAGACTTTGTGCACTAACTAATCTTATATTACCAGTGATAGCTTCCTAGACACTCGGAGAGTTCCTCGGCTATATACATACATGTAATCTAGAAAATGAATCATGATTTTTGACCAGACCACACTAGAAGGTGAAGGGACGACGACGTTTCAATCCGTCCTGGACCATTCTCAAGTCAATCGACTTTAGTATGGTCCAGGACGGACCGAAACGTCGTCGTCCCTTCAACTTCTAGTGTGTGGTCTGGTTAACATACTTTAGCCACGTTATTGTGACTCATCGCCTGAATCATGATTTTTATTTTATTTTATTTATTTATATACATATACAAGAGTTCTTACATTCTTGTACAGCCACTAGCACGCGTAGCGTTTCGGGCAAGTCCTTAATCCAGTCCGTCTTCCAATTAAAGATCCAAAAGTGATTCCATGCACCCGCCAAACCCCCCGTTTATGAATGAAAAACGGTTTACACACACGACTGACAACTGATGTCGTTCGAACACTTCGGGAACAAGTGCTTCACTGACGAATTTTGTTCGAACCACAACGCTGTAAATGCTTCATCTGTGTTCTACAAATACAAATAATCGCCAGCAGAGCCTAAACACCTAACCTAATCTAACCTATGCCTATATATGCACAATATGATAATATATATAATATATTATAATATTAATTTATATATGAGAAAATTCCACTTTTGAATGAATTGCATGTTAAAATTCATGAATGCGTCTGTGGGGTCAACCACTGGATGTAATGGACTTGAGTCGAGGACGGGTTGCTTAATCCTATGTTCCCCGGAATACGACCCCGTCAACTCGTTTAACAACCAGGTACCCTTTTTACTGTTAGGTGAATAGAGGCTACAGTTAAGGACTGAAGCCCAGTAAATCCTCCCCGACCAGGATACGAACTCAGGACAAAGCGCTTGTGAAACGACCGGCGAGTGTCTTAACCACTACACCACGAAGACTAATAAACAACATATGTCCATAATAATATTAAATAACATAATAACATATCCAGATTAGTGAGGCCAAGTTCATGCACTAAGGAACTCGCCACGCTGCCACCACCACTACATCAACCAAGATAAACACAACAGTGTGTATCTGTCCTGCAGCAAAGCTGTGATATAACAAAATAAAGAGCCTATCTCCTCAAGAGAAATCATTCAGTCTGGCAACTAGTCAGATAAGGCTTCGGTTCTCATTTTTTTGGATGAGATATTTTAAAGAGTATTGTTGAGTGTAAATTGGCCAATTGCGTGCTTCATAACATTACCTTAATATTTCCAATATATAAATTGAGAGTTGTTAGGTTGTGGGGCAACACTCTAATTTTCAGTAAGTTTAATTTAATCTTGCAGTTACTGAATTTTTTATTTCATGCTTGAATTTACGCAATGCCTGAATCTCTTTCATATAAATTTGAATATATCTGTATATATAAATTTATATTAATCAAATAATTCATTGCTATAACAATTAACATTAATTTTTCATAGTAGTATATCATATTGTATATAATATCTAGTTTGCATATATATATATCATACTTGTATAATACAACTTGTTCTGTTTATTAATATCTGATTATTGACTGTTGAAAGAATTTTAGAGCTAGGCTAGACTGCATATTGTTTAGATCCTTGATCTAGAACAGAATCAGTGTTCAGTCACAAAACTGAGTTTTATAATCTTATCCTTGTATAAAATACAAGCTGATGTGTTGAAATGCCTGCAGGTAGATTGTGGGTCTCCAATCAACAACTCCATTCACTCTTAAAGACCTACCTGCCCCCTACAGCCCGCTGTCCTTCCTGTCATGATATGTGCAGATCATGGCTCTCCCCTCCCCCAGTCCCCCTTCCCCCTTCCCATACTCCCTTCCCCTTTCTCCTTTCCCTTACCACTCTCCCTTCCCCTTCCCTTTCCTTGTTCGCCTCCCCCTTCCCCTTCCTTCATTCGCCTTTCCTTCCCTTGTTCCCCCTCCCCTCCCTTTTTGACCACCTTCGGTCATAAATTCGTCTTCTGTAGGCAAGGGACAATTGTCCAACTGTCTCAGGCCAGGCCTCTTACAATCTCCTATTCCCTAATTCCTCCCTCTATCCTATTCCTAATCCCTCCCAATCCATCCGTCCCAACCATTTCCTCTCCTTCTCGGTCCTCTCTATAACCAGTCACGAATTAAGGGGTTCCCTAGGTGCCATAAACTCAGAGTCAGCCAGGGTCTGGGACCTCTGGCGCAAAGTCCGGGCATGTGAGCGTGTGAGAACTCTGTCAAGGGGAATAGACCCTTATGGTCAAGCCTGGATCTGATTGGTTGAAAATCAGGGAGGCCTAGTGTGTGGAGTCCCCCAGGGTAGTGACAGACGTCCCATTGGCTGGTCCCTCAGGCCTAGAGCAACGCTTCAAATCCATTGGCTATAGGCTTGGAAAGGCGGGGTTAATTGGGCCTAAGAAACTTAGAAATGGGTAGAGCTTGGTTCCACTGGTAGCTTGTTAAGTAAAATAAAGTTAGTGTGTTTTGGGGATTCAAGTGGGATACAGATCTCTTGATCTGTAGGGCAAGCCATTCAACATCGTTGGCGGATTGCAGTATTTAAGGTAAAGTGTGCTGTAGTATTATGTCCATCGTAATAGTATTACGTCCACCATACTATTGCCTCGTAGGAGATTTCATTAGAGTAGGATATATTTTCAATTTTGATTTCAGTATCTGTGATTTAAATAAATAATAAACTGTATTAAGGTTAATTTGTGTTTACTTATCTGTTCCCTTTGATTAATGCGGTGTTATTCATTCTTATTTATGGTTTTTATGTGCTGTGCTAGAAATTCCCCTGTGTTCTCCTCCATATCATGGATATTAAAGTTATCCTTAAATCCTCAATAAGTAAAGTAAAAATAGACTTCAACCTCCAAGCATTAAGCATTATTACCTAGATTCCTATACCTCTTGAGTTCATGAGTATTGAGTTCTTTCCTTCCTGAGAGGTCAATAAGTTAGACACATTCAGGTATATTAGCGGGAAGGTGGTGGCAGTGTTTAATGAGTTTTTGTTTATTTAGTTTTTATTCAGATTAATAATCCCTTCTCTTGTTACTTCCCCCTCATTTAATATTCCAGACTCAATATTAACTGGCCCGATCATTGAGGGTCACAGTGATCTGCAAGTAGTGTTAAGCTGGGGTATAGAGTGGAGAGTACGGGCAGAGCAGTTCGGGTTATTACATTCCTAGGACTAGAGGAGTAGGATTTACAACCCTATCTTAGGACGTTCAGTCGTATTATTTTTACATACAGTAATTTTTAATCTAGTGAAGTACAAGTCCTAAGTAGTTCTCATAAATCAATCACAGCATTTTTCCCACACCTTATATATCCCACACCTAACACCTTATATATCCCTTCCTGGGTGCTAGACACATATTCTGTGGTGCTGGTGCTTCGAATTCATGGTCCAGGTTAACAGACACACAGGGTTTTACCTTTATGGGCAAATAAATGTGATAGTTCAGAAAATTTGGGAAATCGAATACAATGATACCTAAACAAAAAATGCCCAATTTTAAAGAATTTAATTTTAAACAAAATCTTAATAAATATTTACGCCATTTTTCTTAAATTTACAAAAGATTATTATAAAATTATGCAATTGATAAAAGAGGAAGTGTGGCAATAAGATGATGAGCCGTGAACCTTGTAACAACTTACCAGGAAGGCACACCTCCGGTTCTGGCAGCTGGACTCCTTGGGTCCAACACTGGGTCCGATAAGAAGATAAAACACTACAAGGAGAGTTCAAGTCATTATCACTGAATGCTGGGTGACTCTGGCCATTAATACAGTGTGTAAAGTAAGGTCGGGGATCAACAGCATGGAAGCAGTCACTCAGTGGACTACTGCTGTGGAGGAACAGCTGGGCGCATTCCGTCAAGTCTTCTGCCTCACTAATGTCATCCAACTGTCTTGCCTGGTTTGCCTGATGAAAAGAACATACCATTCAATTAAAATTACAATTCATATTATTTATTTGTGCATTAGAAGAGTCTTTAGGAATAACATATTGAAAAAGTACAGTACATATTATTAGTAATGGCAATGTCTTCTCACAGACATAATAACACAGGATAACAACCCACACTTGTGTATTTGTGAAATTTATGTAAGGAATTTACACCAAGACTTTCGCACTCTCCTGAGTGCTTTACCAAGGTCCGAGTGTGTGATTACGATGGGACTTACATCACAACGTCTAATCAGTTAGACGGATTAGATGTTGATATGTAAGTCTCGTCCTAATCACACACTCAGACCTTGACAAAGCACTCAGGAGAGTGCGAAAGACTTGTAAATTCCTTACATAAATTTCACAAATACACAATTGTGGGTTTTTATCTTATATTTATATGTTTCATTAATGTATCTGCTTGTGTGTATTCTGTGTACAGAACGTAAACCATAATAACTGCATGCTGAAAACTACGGGCATAGCAATACATATCTTCAGCATAAGGATATGACTAAGTATTCTTGGCAATATGTTATTAATGCAGGGTTGAAAAATAAAACGTGCTGCGCAACCTGTCCTCTTAAAAAGAACGTCGCTTTTGGCCGTTTGTCCGTATGGCCGAATATGGACGTAATTTGAAAATAAAAAAAAACGAAAATAAATTTGAGATTTTTTTTTTCAACAACAGTAAGTTAAGGGTCCTCTGATAGGTTAGGTGGGCAGGAAATTCTCATAAAGTTTCAAAACGTTATGAAAAACGTTAATTGAAAGTTCCTCTTCTAAGGTGTCCAAGGAGGGCCGGACGACTCAAACAGAAAACGGAACAGTACGTCACTTTTGTGAGTCAATTTCATTTCAAATTACGTCCAAATTTGGCCATAGTGCGCATACGAGCCAAAAGTGACGTTATATTTAAGAGGACGGGTTGCACATACTCCTTCGAGCTGTGAAGTTAAAACAATAATAATAATAGAAAAATATATATTTTTTTGTTTTTTAATTTAGTAATATATAATATGGTACATGTAACCTAAAACTAGAGTAAATGTTTTTAAAACCTAAAATATAAATCTCAAAAAATGTTTTTTTTTATTTAAGATGTTATTTTTTATTTTGTCTTAATTCCTTGAGGGCCGACTCATTTTCTCACCATGGATAGGGCTGCCAAACCCTGAAGAACTGCAGTAGGCCTTACAGTACAGAATCTGGCTCTTTATAAAGCAGCCCGTCCCGTCCTCAGACCAGATCCATTACCATGAGCACTCCCCCCCCCCCTCAAACCACCTGGATAGTTATCTAGATATTTGTACTGGTCTGAAAGCATATCGCAGTTCCAGTAATAGGCTACATTTAAACTGGCAAATGAATCTTTGTCATAAACAGAGATTATTCTCAAGTTATAACTTTAATGTTATAGAAATCGTTGGTTTAAAGTATAAAAAGTGTATGCTGAAAACGTTTTCTTAGAAGAATTTGGTTTTATGTAAATGGAATTTGTAGGCATACTGAAACATTTGTCGAATTCCATATTTTTTTTTATTTTGAGATATATACAAGAGTTGTTTCATTCTTGTACAGCCACTATTACGCATAGCGTTTCGGGCAGGTCCCTGGAATACGATCCCCGCCGCGAAGAATCGTTTTTACAACCAAGTACTCATTTTACTGTTGAGTTAAACAGAGGCTACAGTTAAGGATTCGTGCCTAGTAAATCCTCCCCGGCCAGGATACGAACCCATGACAAAGCGCTCGCGGAACGCCAGGTGAGTGTCTTACCACTGCACCACGGAGACTGGTGATTCACAGTATCGTCACTAATACATCGTATTAACATAACTAAATGTAATGAAACCTAACCTAACCATAGATAGAGAGTACATAATAGCACAAATTATATAGTCATTCCTAATCCATTCCCTTAAGGGGATCTCCTCCCTGAGGACAGGTTGCTATGAAGGGAAGGAAGATTGGGGATCAGAGATCAACACAAAACTGAACCAAAAAAATCTGAAAATATAAGCCGTGAAAACTAGCTATTCTTTAAAGGAAATTAGTTACCCCGTTATTAGTTAGTTAATTAGTTTTTTTGGTTCCAAGGGGTTGTCATAGCCAGGGGGTGGTAATGGGGGACGAGCTCCCATGACCTATAAAAAACTCCTGTATGGCGTGCGTCTCAAATAGCCTCTGACAACCAAGTCCAACTCCTGGCCTGCACGGGTGGCTAGTCTTTAAGTCCGGCAGAACCGCTTTTACTGACAGAAGAAGCGCCGAGGGCGTGCCTCTGGCGCCTTAAAACCAGTTGCTCCAGGTAGATGGGACTCGATAGCCTGGGAAAGTAGCTCATGTAGGGGAAGGACAACCCTGATTTTGAACCTCTGCTGCCTTGCGGTCATACCCCTCTTTTGGGAAAGGCTTCAGGAGTCAACCTCGATGAAAAATCCGGAGTTGGAGCCCCTAAGGCAGTTCATTGTTGACTTCGACCTCGTTCTGGCAGCTCCTGCGACGGTGCTGGAATCATGTTTATTGGCTTTCGCCTTTCCATTGGATAATTTCAGCAACGTGAAGAGGGGGACCTGCTGCATGGGTAACAGCTTCTCCTCCATATCTACCTACACAGGCTTTGCGTCCTGGAGAGAAAACTCTAACCTCGCCTCACTGCATCGAAGCAACACGGGAAGCAACAGTATCGGTTTTAAGTCTTCTGCTCGATTGGCAAAGAGTGTGACGCCAGGGGTTGCTTCTGACGGTGGGAGGGGTCATGGCGCCTGCTGGTAGCCAGGAAGACAGACCATAATCAGACTTCGTTTCTGCTCAGTGTGGGATGCACTGCCATTCTGGGATTGGCCTCATCAGTCACACCAGACGCTGCTCCAGGATTGACAACCAGAGCACAACTCCATAGTCTCCCGAGACTGAAGGATGTCTACCATTTACCAAACAATCGTTGCTAATTGGTAAAAAAAAAATTGTGATGCATCTGACTGCCACTGCTGGGCGCCTGACAGTGGACAGCACTTCGGATTCGTAGTCTTGAGGTTCCGGGTTCGATCCCCGGTAGAGGCGGAAACAAATGGGCAAAATGTTTCTTTCACCATGATGCCCCTGTTATATTGCAGTAAATAGGTACCTGGGAGTTAGACAGCTGCTACGGGCTGCTTCCTGGGGGTGTGTAACAAAAAGGAGGCCTGGTCGAGGACCTGGCCGCGGGGACGCTAAGCCCCAAAATCTTCTCAAGATAACCTCAAGATAACCACTAGGTGGTAGCTCAGATCACCTGAGCTCAAGTCAGCTGCCACCTCATTCACTCGTCAGGTGCAGCTGAGGTCGCAGGTGTCTGCTGGGCTTGTATTGTGCTCCAATGTGTCAGTTATCTTACATTGTTGCTGTCTTGCGTCTTCCATTCCTCCACCAGAGTTATCTTCTCTGAAGGGTCAAAGTTGCCCTCCTCTAGAGTCATCTTGCTTCTGAGTAGAGCATGGGTTTGCTGCCCACTGCAGGGCCTGTTGATGGGGAATGATAGTAGTTAGGTCACGATGTAGGCTTGTGTGGCTGTCGCGCCTGGCTTTGCCTCCTCTGTGGTTGAGACCTGTACCCTAGTCGAGGGTGCGCTTGGCTCATATAAGTGACTGCTCTTTTCTGTCTGCATTCGTCGTCGTTCACTGGGTGGTTTACGGTAGGAGTTTGTGTTCAGTAGACATGGTTCCTTTGCCTCTGGCCGAACTACTCGTCTGCAGACGGTCCAAGCAGTCAGTATGTCTCGCCGCCGCTTTCGTTTGAGCTGGTGTTCTGGGCCCCTGATAGTCACTTGCTGCTTGTCACTACACTTTTTGGGTTCAGGAGTCATTTTACCCTCAGGTGGGCCGTTTACCAGAGTTCAATTTCAGTGCTGATCGAGCCGCCCTCTTGGACGGTGGCTTATTAGGCTGTGACTGTCTTGCTAGATTGTGCTCTATAGTTCTACCTCCTGCAGCTCCTGGGCGAGCCGAGTGGCACGGCAGAATATCTCTCATACCTTTATAAGGAAGATGTTGAATGTCTCTGAAATGCTTTTTGCGTTACTACTCACAGGATGAGTATGGGGTGCACAATAAACTAGCCGCCTTCGGCGGCAACAATCAATCAAAGATGGACCTCAATTCTTGTGAATACAGGTCGTCTTCCTCTTCTTGGCAGACGAATAAGGTCCCGTCTTCCTTTTGGCTGGTGAAAACTCCTTGGCATTTTCCCTGTACTAGTGGCAGAACGTTTAGTCATACTCACGTACTAGACGAAGCAGGTGGCCTTCCTTTTTTCAGGTTTATCTCGTGCGCTCCTCTTTCGAGGTGGTGAATTGTACCTTGTATGGGCCTGCCTTTCCCAACAATATCGGGTCTTGGCACATTCCCATCCAGACACCCAAGTTGCTTTTAGCTGGGTTGGCGAAAGGCAATAGAATGTTTTACTGGTTAGTGGAGGTTCTTAATTTCTGTGAGGTGTAGCAATTCCTCTCTGATGCAGTTGCAAGTCGATATCTGCTCTTTGGTGTCGGACACCTCATATTTTCGTTTGTGATTTACTGGTGCAACTTACTGATGCTTTCTTGCTGTTTGCTTTAGAGTATTTCCATGAGTCCCTTTGGTTTCTTTCCTTGTTGTTTATTACACCAACTTCTCCTTTTCCGTTGGAAAAGATTTCGCTGGTTTTAGCGGCCACGGACAGGTTCGGTTCCATCTTCTCAGCGGTCCAGTATACGTGCTTCTCGGGCTCCTGGCCGAAGTAGAGGTTCTGGTGCGCCAGTTGTTAAGGCAGGCGCAGTTCTGCCTTTTGCGCTTTTGGTCTTCGTTCAAAAACTTTGCAGTGTTGTTAACATTGTGGCCCTCAACCGTTCCTGGTATGAGAGTCGTCTTAGTTCTGGAATAATTCTTGCTGCCCAATTTTGAGCTTTTCTCAAAGCAGCAATGCGTTTTTGAAGATGAGGTCTCCATGCTTGT